GAGATAAGACTTGCCTTATCTAATTTCAAGACTTAACTCTAAACATTAACAGAACAGAATAAGAACTATCCAGAAACAGACCTATACAGATACATGTTCAACTGATTTTTTTTTTTTTTCTTTTAGGTTCTGGAGACTGATCCCAGGGCCTCTCAAATGCCAGGCAAGCACTCTACCAATGCACTATAATCCCCAGCTCTATGCAACTGAATTTTTATGTATGTGTGTGGTGTAGCTAGACCTTTTTAAAAAAATTTTTTTGGAAGAGGTTCTTGATAAGTTGCCCAGGCTGGACTCAAACTTGTGATCCTACTGCCTCAGTCTCCCAAGAAGATGGAATTACAGGTGTACACCATCATGCCCGGCTTCAAGTGATTTTTGATAAAGGTATCAAAGCAATTCAATAAGGAAAGTCTTTTCAACAGTTGTTGAATATACTAATGTAAAAATATTGACATTGACCCTCACCACACACCACACACAAAAATTAACTCTAGATGGGTCAAAGACCTATGTATAAAAACCTACAAAACTTCTAGAAGATAGGAGAAAATCTTTGCAATTAGGGGAAGCAAGGTTTCTTAAAGAGAATAAAAAAGCAAGAAACATAAATGAACAATTTTTTTTTTTTTTTTGGTACTGGGACTTGAACTCAGGGGCATTTAACCACTGAGACACATCCTCAACCCTTTTTACTTATTATTTTGAGATAAGGTCTCACTAAGTTGCTTAGGGCCTCACTAAGTTGCTGAGGCTAGCCTAGAACTTGCAATCCTCCTGCCTCAGCCTCCTGAGTGGCTGGGATTACAGGCGAATACTACCATGCCTGGCAAATGAAACAATTTTTTAATGATACTTTAAAACTTTTGTCCTTCAAATGACATCACTCAGAGAATGAAAAACAAACCAGATTTTGTTTGTCAAGACACATTTATTAGACAAAGGAATTATATTCAGTATAGATTTTTTTAAATATTAAAACAAAGACAACCCCATTTTTTAAAAATGGGTAAAAGATGTAAATACTTTACAAAAGAAGATAAACAAATGACCAACAAGAACATGAAAAGATGCTCAACATCATTTAAAATGAATAAAAAGCAAAAATTAAAATCACATCACTATACAACTATTAAATTAGCTAAAATTAAAAGGATCAATTCTTATGTTACTGGTATGAATGTAAATGATACTATTTTGCATAGGCAGTTTCATAAAAAGATAAACATACTCTGCCACATAATCCAGTCAACCTAGGATGGGAGATACTATTTTATGTACTAATCAAGTAAAATGGAAATATTTGTCCATATAAGACTCATATGAGATGGGCACAACAACGCAAGCCTACAATCCCAGTGATTTGGGAGGCTGAGGCAGAAGGATCTCAAGTTCAGACAGCCTCAGCAACTTAGCAAGGCCCCCAGCAATTTAGTGAGACCCTGTCTCAAATTTAAAAGTAAAAACAGGCTGGGGATGTGGCTCAGTGGTTAAGCAACCCTGGGTTCAATTCCTGGTACAAGAAAAAAAGAGAGAGAGAGAGAGAGAGAATCACTGTGATTTCATTTTATAAAATTCTAGAATATGTAAACCACTGTACATAAACAGAAAATAGGACTGTAATGCCTAAGGATGGGAGAAGAGAAAGAAATGGACTGCAAAGGGAAACAACAAAAAAAAAACTTTGGGGTTAGATAGAAAGGTTTGTTATCTTGACTACAATGATGGTTTCAGAGATGCATTTTATAAACAAACTGATTGTAAGGTAGTATTTATTTATTTGTAAGGACTAGACCTAGAGTCTGCCACACACTAGGTAAATGTTCTACCACCAAGATATTCCCCCAGCTCACAGTGTACACTTTGAATAAGTACAGTCTATTTTATATCAATTATACTTCAAATGGAAATTGGCAGTCCTTTAGGGCTGAAACCCACCATCCTAAACACTGGGATCAATCACTACTCAATAAAGACTTGATTGTACCAACCAGCCATTAACAGCCAAGTCCCATGTGACTACTCTCAGGAAACTCTATACAAGTTTCTTTTTTCTTTTTTTTTTTTTAAGAGAGAGAGAGAGAGAGAGTTTTAACATTCATTTTTTAGTTTTTGGTGGACACAACATCTTTGTATGTGGTGCTGAGGATCGAACCAGGGCCACACGCATGCCAGGTGAGCGCGCTACCGCTTGAGCCACATCCCCAGCCCCATCTATACAAGTTTCTTAGTGTAAGACACAGAAATACATATATCTTTTCTCATGAATAAGCATGAACACAGTAAAAGATCCAGAGTTGATCATATGATCAACTTGATTAATATACTGGAGATTAAGTCATGATGGCTAGGGAATCCCTGTCTCTAAGTCTGTCTTTTGTTTGTAAAGGACTCAACAAAAACCATTAAATATTTTATACTATCAATTCAGAACATTTGACCATTTGTTGAAACCAGATTAATCTCAAACTTCCCTTTCCATAAACATAACAAGAAAAAGCTTTGTTATGATATAATGGCTATCATAATTATGGTGATTTTATAATTTATCACCAATGTGGCAAGTCTCTGCTTCTGATTACAAAGATGAAAAGTTAAGCCAATTTTCAACCCTTTTCTGATCTATAAGAATTTTTAAGACCTTCTAGTTCATTCTTCTACATGTAAATATTTAGATTTCACTAAAAAAAGTATTTTAGTTCATCCCAGTACTCTTTGTAGACTTTTATTTATTTATTTTTGGTACAGGGGGATTGAACCCAGGGGCACTCAACCACTGAGCCACATCCCCGGCCCTATTTTTTGTATTTTATCTAAAGTCAAGGTCTCACTAAGTTGCTTAGCACCTCGCTTCTGCTGAGGCTGGCTTTGAACTCATGATCCTCCTGCCTCAGCCTCCAGAGCCACTGAAATTACAGGCATGCGCCACTGCACCCAGTGTGCAGACTTCTTTAATTCTACAAAATCTTTATAAAGGCTGGTTTGCCAGGTGGTGCATGCCTGTATTCTCAGCAATTCTGTAATTCCAGCAATTTGGGAGGCTAAGGCAGAAGGATCTCAAGTTCAAAGTCAGCTTCAGCAATTTAATAAGGCCCTGTCTCAAAAAATAAAAAGGATTGGAGATGTGGCTCAGTGGTTAAGCACCCCTAGGTTCAATCCAAAAAAATTAAATTAAAATAAAGGCTAATATTCTCCATGGTTTCATCCTCTACTCTTTTTTAGTCTCTTCTCACCTTTGTTTCTTCAAATTCACAATTTCTAAAGAAGCTAGTTAAATAAAGATTCCCACACCCTAATCCCAATGATTTGGATTCTGATTAATGGATGGAAGCCCATCCATGTTTATACTTTTTAAGAATCATCCCTGGGTGAACCAAGGTACACATTGAGAAATATTGCTTTAAACACATTCCCTAGAAGATATCATGAATACTCATTTTGTAGAAGAAAATATGTTTTCAGTTAATTTTTAAAGCGAATAATTCTCAATTTTTCATTTCAGACCAGCCCTTCACCTGAGGTCCATATCCATTTATGTTTGTTCCAAATGTTGCTCCTCATTCAGAAATTCCCAGTTCAGTGAATTACTCCAACCTTCAGCTGTTTGCCAGTGCCAGAAACCCACAGACATCCTGTCTTTCTTTTGATTAGCTCTAGCCTATATCATCATGTATATTTCCTATGTATTGTTCCCCACATATTCTTCATTCCTCTCTTTTGTTCTTAAAATAGCCTCTGAACCAGTTTTCCAACACACTTCCTAATCCATCTTACATAAAGTTACCAGAGTGACCTTTCCCTTCCAGGATAAAAGTCCAACACCTGAGCATGCTGTTAAAAAAGGCTTGTTTTCAAGCTGGGCTCGGGAGGCTGAGGCAGGAGGATCTCGAGTTCAAAGCCAGACTCAGCAAAAGCCTGCGCTAAGCAACTCAGTAAGACCCTGTTTCTAAATAAAATACAAAATAGGACTGGGGATGTGGCTCAGTGGTCAAGCACCCCTGAGTTCAATAACGGGTATCCTCCCCCCGCCGCCCCAAAAAAAAAGACCTTTCATGATCTGGCTAACCTCTTTGAATGACCACTCCACCCCATTCTCCATTCCAGTCATATAGAACACCTTGCTATCCCATTTACTTTTTACCTATTCAAATGTTGTTCTCTCTTCAGAAAAATCCTTTATCCTGGCTAACTGCATCATTCCTCCACTTTCAAGCCTATGCTTACAGATGATCTATTGTGGTTATTGCTCCCTTTCAGACTATCACTCCCTTTTCCTAACAGCTATATTAAATTCTCACTTTAAAATATTTAGTTATTACACCGTATTTTGTTGATTTTTTGCAAATCCCCTCTTTGGATTTCTACTTTTGTTTTCCATTTCTGTATATCTAAATACACAGCTGGCAAAAAAGCAGACATTTAGTCAATGTTATCTGAATGAATTAATCCATCTAATGAGAGTCTCAATTTTTTTTCTTTTAACTATGAAAAACTTAGCACATTCAGCATACAAAATAATAAGCCAGACTTGCAGCCAAATAGTTTGAAAATACAAGAATTTCCCCCAACCATATTTTCTCTTCCTTCCAAGATCATCAATGTATTTATGAGCACGAATTTCATGTGGGGAGAAATGCTGGACTACCACTGAATCATATGTTCTAGTTTTATTATAATTTGTTCTTTTGGTTTTGGTTTTTTTTTTTTTTTTTTTTTTTTTTGCAAGCTGTTTTCCTCCACTACACTACACTAGGTTTAGACCTGCACTGTCCAATTCAGTAGCCACTAGCTACAGGTGGCTATTTAAATTTGGTTAATTAAAATGTAATAAAAATTAAAATCCATTTGCTAGTTGCACTAGTTACACCTTCAAGTGCTTAAAAGTCATACGTGGCTGGTGGCTATGATACTGGGCAGTGCGGATACAGGATATTTTCATCAATCCAATTGTCAGCTCTGGCGACACAATTATAAAAAGACCTCAGAAAAACCTCACTTACTTCTTAGCTCCCACGATCCTGGTGCTCCTCTGCTGCTTAAAGGACGTGGGTCCCGGGGTCTAGCAAATCACAAGCACAGGGTGAGGGCTAGGGTCCTCTGGACCTCGACCACAAAGAGATGACTCCCCCTTGTGCCCAGAAGAAATGAGGCTCTCCCGGGGCAACTACCTCAAACGGAAAAAGGCAGCACTTTTCAGAAAAAGTATACGGTGCTCCCTTCCTACAACGCACAGGCGGGTGACAATACCTGCGCCTTCATCTTCCCCCATTCCCAAAGCTCTGTCCCAGGCAGAGGCTCTAACAGGGAGGCGAAAAAAGACAACGGCTATGGGAGGCATTGTGGGATGTAAAAGAAACAGAAACTAATGGCAATCTGGAGAGGAACTGAATCCAGGGAGGTGGGGAACAAGCAAAAAAAGTGGGGAAAGAAGAGGGGGCAGGTGGATCTGATCTAAAAGGGTGGGGCCTACGATGGGGTCTGATAAAAACCAACTCTGAGCACAGGACAAAAGCGAGGGGCCGCGTGCTCCTGGCTCGACAGCGCTCCCTCTAAAGCATCATGGTCACCCCAAGGAACTCACAGCGGGGACTGCACCGAGTCTGGAAGACATCACTCCCTCTCCACGCCTAACAATTTCACCCAAGGGCTCCGGCCAGACCAACGCCACTTCCGCTCTCCTCGCCTCTCCCGGATGTGGCCTCGGCGCCGCCTAGCCCGGTTCTGAACGTCTACTTCCGCCTAGCAGCTTCCGAGGGGGCTGCGGCTGGAGAGTCATGTGACGTGCCCCCCTCGGTTCCGGAGACCCCACCCCCCACTGCGGCGCGGGGCCTGGGAAAACGCGGGCCCGGGGCTGGAGCGAGGGGGCGGGGTCTGGAGACCAGCCGGCCCCGGGCCTCCCGCCCGGTGCTCAGTCCCTTTGCACGACAACACTTGTCCCAGTTTTCCGCACCCACCCCGGTCGTGGTCCTGTAGATGCACATGGAGATCAATTATTGCCCCTTTATTGATCTTAGAGAAATCACAGACTCATTCTCTGTCCCCCTCCCCCAGGTAGAGAGATCAAGCAGCCCTTTCATTGCTGAGGGTGCAGGAATTGGAGGCAGTGGCTGAGCAGGAAAGAAGCCAGGAAAGGGTGAAAATTTAAGGAAGACGATTTATAACAGGGGCAGAGCTCTCCTCATCTACTAGCTTCGGGCCTCCAAACTCGTCTTGCTTTTGAAGTTCTCGTTTTGGTCTGCGGGAGGCATGGCTGAGTAATTCTTGGAATCTTTAGACAAACTATGTCTGGGCCTCTCCTTAGGGGAGCTGTGCTTGAGCCTCTCCTTGGGGAGATTCTGATGGATTCCCTCAGTGTGGCTGCTGTGTCTCCTCTCAGAGTGGCTGCGGTGTCTCCTCCCAGAGTGACCGCGGTGTCTCCTCCCAGAGTGACCACGGTGTCTTCTCTGAGAATGACTGCGGTGTCTCCTCTTGGAATGACGACGTTGACTTCTCTCAGAGGGACGGTGACAGGTCCTGTCAGTGGTACTGTGATCACTTCTCTCAGGGTGGCGATACTGGCTCCTCTCAGAGGGCCTGTGTTGCCTCATCTCAAAGTGACTGTGATGGGTTCTCCCAGAAGGACTGTGTCCTCTTATCTCAGGGGGACTGCCAAAGGATATCTTAGAGAAATTACCACGGCTCCTCTCGCAGGGACTGCGACGACGGCTCCTCTCGGAGGGACTGCGAGGGCTCCTCCCTGAGGGACTGCGAGAGCTCCTCTCTGAGGGACTGCGACGTCTTCTCTCTGAGGGACTGCGAGGACTGCGACGGCCCCTCTCTGTGGCACT